TTCAATCCCAGGAGGCACCGGGGCTGCCGCGAGGTCTGCTGGGAATTGTAGTCCGGAGCGCGCCACAAACTACAGATCCCAGGATGCTCCTGGGCAAGGCGGCCCGGCTGCCGAACTGAGGCGATGACTCCCACAATGCACCGGGGCAGGAGCTGGCTGCCGCTAGGACATCTGGGACTTGTAGTTTTTTTCTCCTGTGCCCCTCTATTTACTTCCTACCTGTTTGTTTATTGTAGGGTCGTTTTTTCCTCCTAGGCAGAAGTACTCCATAGCATTACTGGCCAGTGCCCCTCGTCCCAGCTCCCCGGCCACCCCGTGGGTAGCTGCGCGCACGGGGCCAAAGGCATGCATTGCTCACACCGCTGTAGCCGATCAGCCAGCCTGTCCCTCCCTTCCAGCTCGCTGGGGAGGGAGCGTCCCTGCCCCGTCGTTTTGCATTCATTTTTAGGCAACGTTAATAATGAGACTCATTAACCTACTTGGCTCACGTCTAGAGCTGTTCATTGTTAAAGGTCTCAAAGCCCTTTACGGAGGAAGTCGGGATCACTGTCCCCCTGTCGTGGGTGGGGAAACCGAGGCACAGGGCGAGAGCGACTTTCCCACGGATAACCGTCTCCCTCGTGTGAGGGAAGTGCTTTATGGAATTGTATTTCCCCTGCAGCACCTCATATCCCCCCGACTGTTTCTCTCTCCTGCATCTCAAGAGCTCTGACATGCAGCCCCCCCTCAACACGGGGGCGAGGGGAAGAGTCAGTTTTATTTAATCTCCACCAGTCCCTCCGCTGTTGGGCCAATATTTCCTGGGGCCGCCATGCCAGCGGCCACCTCTCTGGCTGAATGTTCAGTGGTCACACGCGGGAACGTCTGCTCTGCAGCGTATCGGCGCTGGGCCCGGAGGCCGGGAAACAGCGCTCTTCTCTATGCCCACTCCGAAGCAGGGCAGAATGGAGGGGGCCTACAAAGGGCTTGGCAGGGATGGTGCGGGTGTTGCTTTGCGGTGCACACACAGGCGCGCTGTGGCGCCAGGAGAGGGCACTGCATGCATGGAGATGGGGTCCAGTCATCTTGGATAGTGTCAGGCGTTTTCGTACACCCACAGGAAACGCTCCATCGTGCAAAGGAAACCCTCTTGGCCCACGCACGGCTGCCAGGTGGGAGCGTTGGAGGCCGGGCTCTCGGCAGGAAGGACAGGCAGACAGATCGGGGGGGTGGGATGGATTCCAGGACCGCCCCAGCCACTGGGACAGATGCGTCTCGGGGCAGAGTCCAGAATTCCGTATCAATTTCAGAGACGCGGCCCAGCCTCAGCGTTCTCAGCCCTGGGCCCCCCCAGTCCGCCCTTTTCTCCGTTGCCACCCACTCCCGGGCTCCCTCCGGCTCCTGGGTGCCCTCCCTCTGGGCCTGCCAGCGCCCTGGTGCTTCTGTCGGCGGCTGCGTTTCCACGCAGAGAGACAGCTCCCCGAGGGAGTCCCCTGACTCAGCGGCGATAAACCGAAGCCCCAAGGGGCTTGCAACAGCAGCCAAAAACAGCAGCCACAGGCGGAGCTGGTTTCCTCGCCTCCTGCACGGTTTTCTTCCCCCGGCCGCTGTTCTGTGGCCAGGCCCAACCCCCCCGGGCTGCTCAGCCTCCTGCTCTGCAGCCCGTGGTGAAGCTGAGACCAGCTGTCAGGCTTTGGCCTCACCCCCTACGTGCCCCCACGCCCAGGGCCAGGAGCCTTGTGGCCGTGCTGGAGAGACCTCCACCTAAGGGGGCTGTTTCTGGCCAATTGATCCTGTCATGTAAAAGGCCCTTAGCAGTGAATCCCGCCCCAGATGTTTAAGATAATCCCCCAACTCCAGCTTCGGAGAAACCTGCCTGGGCCCCCCGCGCCGGACTCTGCCTTGGGGACAGATCCAGCCCCTAACGCCAACTACAGCCCTCCCCCCGTGCAGCGCCAGGGCAGCCCAACCCCAGATCCTGCTGCAGGGCGAGGCTCCGCTGGGGTGGACCCAGGAGGAGGCTCAGCCGCATTCAAGGCGGCAGGAGGTTCCATGCTTAGAGCAGGCTGGGGGTGGGGAGACCTGGGACACATGCAGGGAGACCTCAGGGTATCGGAGCGGGGCCCGATTCTGTCTGAGCCATGTGCCTGGCAAAGGATTCCTGGCCCAGCTCCAATCCACCTGATTCACCCCCCTCCTTTTAACTGCAGGGGGCAGCTGTTAGAAACCAGCTTCTATCTCTGCCCCAGATCCGCCGGGGCATCCCCAGAACCAGGACCGTGTGGCCCCCGGGTGGTGTCTGCCTCTGCCCGTCCCACCATCGCTGCCTCCTGCAGGCAAGAGCCCAGCTCCGTCTGCCAGGCCCTGTCCTGTGCTTTGCAGGGAATCCCCAGAGGTGCCCATCACCAGGGCTTCTGGCCTGCAGGGCTGTGGTAGCCTGGGGCCTCTCTGCAGGGGCAAGATGATGGAGCTGGGAGAAAGGAAGGAAGGAAGACGCCCTGGGGCATGTCTGCTGGGAGGGGGGGTCTTAGCCCCCTTTCTGCCCACTCTGCCCCTGCCTGATTCCCTTCCCCCCGGGCAGCCGGCTAGAGGGGGCAGAGGCTGAGTCCATCGAAGCCCACGGGAGTTTTGCCATCGCGGGGCAGGTGGGCAGCCCGGGGGCCGAGTGGGCTCTCGGGAGGTCTGGGCAAGGGGGCGGCTCAGCCCAAGAGGGGTTTATCCCCCCGCGAAGCCAGCGTCTGGCAGCCACTTAACATTCTCCTCAGCACTGGCTCCCCCCCCCAAGGCATCTGGAGGGGGCCGCG